CCCCCCCCCCCCCCATCTCCTCTCCTGAAAATCCCCGGGGACTTAATCTAAGAAGAATAATTAGTTTTTCGAGTAAAAAATAGAACTATCAGCAATTAGATGAAGAACTAATTGCTAGAAAAGGATTAAAGATAAAAGAAATGACTACAGAGGAAAAGTAAAGGGACTGCTCACGTAGTTCAAGCACCATACATTTAAACAGTTACATGACAGGTTCACAGTACTCGTGAAATCTTTATCTGAAAAAAGGAGAAAAATATCCTCACAGTGCTAGGATCCGAAAGATTTTGGCTTTCTGGATACGGATCCGGATCCAGATAAATATGCGGATCCACGGATCCGGATTTTTTTGTTAAAAAAATTCAGTAAATCTTCAAGAAATGACCTGGATCCGGATCCATATTTTTCCAGAGCGGATACAGGATCCGGATCCGGATCCGCATCAAAATTAAATGGATCCTAAGCACTGTATCCTCATTATATTTTCTACCTTGTCTCTGATTTACAAATCCTCAAGTCACTTTTCTATAGAAATCGCAATTGAAGATATTCTAGTTTAAAGGAACATGAAGGGCGCTTCGCAACTTTGGTTTTATAAAATGTACATAATTGTGTTTTGGTACTGTGCACTGTACACATTTCAGTACAATGTAAATTAATATTTTTTGGTAACGTCCAGAGTTCTGTGTACAGTTTTCATGAATGCGTTCTAGATATGTTAAGTGTTGAGTGTAGTACACTGTACCATCAATGCGTTCTAGTTATGTTCAGTTTTTAGTGTACGCATAGTGTACATGACTGCGTTCTAGTTCTAGTTATATTCAGTGTTGAGTGTACGTACAGTGTACATGAATGAGTTCTAGTCATGTTCAGGGCTGAGTGTACGTACAGTGTACATGAATGTGTTCTAATTATGTTCAGTGTTGAGTGTACAGTGTAAATGAATGTGTTTTAGTTATGTTGAGTGTTGAGTGTACTTACACTGTACAGTGTACTGTGTACATGAATGTGTTCTAGTTATGTTGAGTGTTGAATGTACAGTGTACATGAATATGTTGTAGTTATGGTGAGTGATGAGTGTACATGAATGTGTTCTGGTTATGTTGAGTGTACAATGTACATGATTGTGTTCTAGTTATGTTGAGTGTTGAGTGTTGAGTGTTGAGTGTACAATGTACATGATTGTGTCCTATACCTGGTCTTTGCCCACAACTCTCTCATCTTCTAGATCACATTTGTTCCCAACCAGAACCATCGGGACATCCTCACAATCCTTCACACGCAGAATCTGCTCCCTGGAAGTTTGATTAATTCATTGAGTGATTGATTTATGTATTCAATGATTGATTGATTGATTGATTGATAGATTGATAGATTGATTGATTGATTAATCGATTAATCGATTAGTTGATTAAATAATTCGTTTTGATTGAATATTTCTTTAATTGACTTCCTGATTTAAATAATTTGGTACAAGAAATTAACGAAAAAAGATGTCACTAAAGTTCTTAGGAACAAAATTGTTGGAAATAAGTACAAACCTACTTAAACAGGATTTAATTAGGATTTGATATCTTTCTTAAAAAAATCAACCCACTACGGGTTCATCGAATTGATTGAAATAATAATTGTTTGATTTTCTTATTAAATTATTTGCTTAATTAATCCAACAAAAAATTTTAATCTTCAAGACTTCATTTCATCGATATCGATGATTTATCAATTTGTTCAAAAAAGGTCCTGAATATTGTTCAATAAATGATTTGTCTAAATTAACCTAAGTTCATGAATATTGTTCAATAAATGATTTGTCTAAACTAACCTATGGTCCTGAATATTGTTCAATAAATGATTTGTCTAAACTAACCTATGGTCCTGAATATTGTTCAATAAATGATTTGCCTAAACTAACCTAAGTTCATGAATATTGTTCTATAAATGATTTGTCTAAACTAACCTAAGGTCATGAATATTGTTCAATAAATGATTTGCCTAAACTAACCTAAGGTCCTGAACATTGTTCAATAAATGATTTGTCTAAACTAACCTATGGTCCTGAATATTGTTCAATAAATGATCTGTCTAAACTAACCTAAGTTCATGAATATTGTTCAATAAATGATTTGTCTAAACTAACCTAAGGTCATGAATATTGTTCAATAAATGATTTGCCTAAACTAACCTAAGGTCCTGAATATTGTTCTATAAATGATTTGTCTAAACTAACCTAAGGTCCTGAATATTGTTCAATAAATAATTTGTCTAAAATAACCTAAGGTCCTGAATATTGTTCAATAAATGATTTGCCTAAACTAACCTAATGTCATGAATATTGTTCAATAAATGATTTGTCTAAACTAACCTAAGGTCCTGAATATTGTTCAATAAATGATTTGTCTAAATTAACCTAAGTTCATGAATATTGTTCAATAAATGATTTGTCTAAACTAACCTAAGGTCCTGAATATTGTTCAATAAATGATTTGTCTAAATTAACTTAAGTTCATGAATATTGTTCAATAAATGATTTGCCTAAACTAACCTAAGGTCCTGAATATTGTTCAATAAATAATTTGTCTAAACTAACCAAGGTCATGAATATTGTTCAATAAATGATTTGTCTAAACTAACCTAAGTTCCTGAATGCTGTTCAATAAATAATTTGTCTAAACTAACCTAAGGTCCTGAATATTGTTCAATAAATGATTTGTTTAAACTAACCAAAGGTCCTGAATATTGTTCAATAAATGATTTGTCTAAACTAACCTAAGGTCCTGAATATCGTTGAAAGTGGACTGTGCTGTAATACTATAAACGAGGATGAAACCTTGACCGTTCTTCATGTACAGATCTCTCATAGCAGTAAACTGTTCAGTACCTGTACAATAATTTAAGTACAGTATGACCCCAGTACAATAATTTGAGTACAGTATGACCCCAGTACAATAATTTAAGTACAGTATGACCCCCCACCAAATAAAAATCCCAGCATCGTTCGCAAGGGTTACTTACGACTGTTAACTTTCTTATTTCAACAAAGTAATATTTGAAGTTTACCTGCCGTGTCCAATATTTCTAGCATACACTGCTGTCCATCCACCTCAGCTTGCTACAACATATTAGACGTAAGAAGGTCACATTTAATAATAGAGGTCATAATTTTATCATTACAGGTCAGGAGGTCACATTTAATAGGAGGTCAAATTGCATCATAGAACTATTCAGGTCAAGAGGTTAAATTGTATAATTGAGGTCAGATTACAATTACAGTTTGAAACTTTAAGAGGTCAGATTTAATAAGAGATTATGCAACATGCATCATAGAACTCGAAGTTTCAGGAGGTCAAATAAAATAAGAGAGGTCAGATTACATTAAAGAAATTTAGAGGTCAGGAGTTCATGATTAAAAATCACAGAACGTCAAGTTATAGAAATTTTGAATTTAAAGGTTAGATTTAATATATTCGAAGTCAGATTACAATTTTAACTCTACTGAGGCCGAATTTAAAGAATTTGAGCCGCGGCTCAAAGATGGTTGGTTCCACTTGAAATTGTATTCAGTGTTATGAGATTTGTGTCGGCGCTCAAATAGGACTGGTTTTTGACGGTCAGCGACTGTTAATGTTTAAATTCTTTGAATTCGGCCTCTGGTTATTGGCAGGAGGTCAGATGTAACTATCGAGGTCAAATAACATCATATATATATATAAACATATATCTCCGGAGGATAGGAAGTCATATTTTATAATTTGAGATCAGAGTTATACATTGAGATTAAAAGAAGATAAAAGTAATCTTGGTCTGTTAATCAACAAATATTCCCTGGACAAACTGGACCGTGAGAGCAGATTTACCAACACCTCCACTTCCCAGGACTACCAGCTTGTATTCACGCATACTTAACATAGCAATCAATCAATCAATCAATCAATCCATCCCTCAACAAATAAATCTATTAACAAATCAATCTATCAATCGCACAATCAATCAACCAACTTTTGGAGGAAAGTTATTACACAAATTTTGAATTTCCAACATATGGTAATTTTCAATAATGTATATTATACCATATTCTTATAGATTTACTACGTGGCCAAATCAGGAATAATTCTTGTTATTGTCACCCATTTTGTGTAATAATTATAATGATTCGTGTAAAGGTGGTATAATATTATTATGCGTAGGAAGAAAATGTAATAATCAAAATTATTGTTATAATATTAAAAGAAAAACCGTGGAATAATTTTGATTATTCCACGGTTTTTCTTTCAGTAGTATAACAATAGTTTTGATTATTACACTTTCTTCCTACGCATAATATACTAATAAAAACATAAGTGAAAGAAAACATAAACATTGATATCAAGTAAAATTTATAAACCTATTGATGGACTTAATTGTGCATTTTTATAGCAAATAATTTCACAACTTGAGAAATACCGAATATCAAAAGTGTTTTGAATGGAATAGTAAATATATTTCAATTCAACAAAGAAAATGAACCGTAGTAAATAAAAAATTCCTGTAATCATCTTTCTCTCCAAAAAAAGGAAAAGACGATTTCTGATGGGAAAGGCATTTTTCTAAGAAATTTAAGATTTAATGTACCAAGATACCTTTGTGGTCGTTTTTTGTGTCTTTAAGATGTTTAATGATATTTTTTGTGTGTAACGTTGTTCACTATATTAATCCTAAAGGAACCCTGTATTAACTCAAATTAAGCTAATTATAACATTTCTTTTAATAAAGACCACTCTTCCAACAAAATCGAATTGAATGAAATTACTTGAATGGAAACAATGAAAATACTTAATCTGGCTACCATTGAAATGAAATTGATAAAATAGTGTCATAGAAAATCTGAAAAGAAAACAGAGAAAATGGTTTTATTAAATCAAAAACGAAGATGAAGGCAGGTTTATAATGACCTGGGTGTTTTACTTGTGAACAACAATGTGTATAAGAACCAAAATAAATAGTCCAGAGGAACTTTAGTGTAATCGGTAAACTCGCTATCCTATGTGGGCACTAATAATTTTAGCAGGATATGACCAACACGGGATATCGAAGAGGAATGAAATTAACCCGTAGGTCTCCACAAGATGGGGATCAATTCTTTTAGAAGAGACTGAATTTATCTTTTTAACAAGAAGTAAAACTAACTTTTTTAAAACGTGCACGTTTTACAACCCTTGAATCCTTAATCTGATCAAAAATGTGGAAGATACCGTCATTTTTCTGAGTAGAAACGTGTTTAATTCTGATTATTTCTCACTTCCTTCTTATAAGCAAGAAATGCGGAAGTCTCTTTAACAGAGAACCCACAATTCAAAATCCGTTTAAAGGAATTCAAAAACATAGAAATCTAATTCACACTTGATTTGACAAAGCTTTACAAGATACCGTTGTAACTCGGACACTGTAATCTTTGCAAGGAGGGTCATTTGATATAACGCGTACAATCTTGAACTGCAACATACGGAGAAAAAAGCATAAACAAACCTTAGGACAAATACCACAATACGTTATATTTATCTCTGTATTATTAATATTAGACCGTACCTGAACAGTGTATGTAAACTGAGTAAGGCACTTGAAACTCAACTTCTGCTGATTTGTTTAGAATTTCAGGGCGTAAACTTCGCAATATATG